GAAATCCCATTAATTTCCATATACATCTAAAAAAATTGGGAAGAGATAAATATTATTTGAATGTAATTCCTGTTTTTATCCATTTTATTATCTGTCTTTTTTTTTTTTTTAGGTTCTGCTGGGCTGCCCTATTGGGCTATTATCCCCATCTGCTTGACTACAGGCTTAGCCCTGTTGCTTCTTCTAAGCCTTCCTTTTTTGGTAAGTAACCCAATCATCAGTGCCATTCCATTGGTGAGCTGCTTACAAGACACTCAACCATTGACCAAATGTGTGTTGTTATGAACAATCCCTCATATGGAATTCATGAACACTTTATGAACATTCCTTCATAAAACAGCTGCTCAGCAGGATGCTGGGAGCCAGGGGTGTCTACAGAGTATGGTCCCAAAAAATCAAAGTGTACATAAATTTAAACATACGTAATAAGAGCTCAGATGGAAACACGTCTCTTTTTTCAGATTCTTGGACTGCCTTTTCCACGATTGGGCCAACCAAGGACGTATTTTGCTCGCCATTTAATCTGGGAGTCGGATCCTGGAATAGAGTTGGAGCGTGGAGTAGAGAATCATGGAAGAAGTATGATGTGAAAGAGGAAATGCTGAGGAAGGATGCACACTGTGTGTTTGGATGAAGCAACTAAGACCAAATCTAGTTATTCTTGCATGCAGGCCTGGTAACTATTTTACAGAATAAGAGAGTTGGAAGGGACTTTGGAAGTCTTTTAATTCAGCTCAGGCAGGAGATCCTATACCAGTGATGGCAAACTTTTTAGAGACCAAGTGCCCCAAAACTGCCCCACCTGCCTCCTGCCCTGCTCCAACCCCTGCCCCGCCACCCACCCACAGGACCACCCACCGCCTCCACGGCCCACTCTAGCAGATCACCCAGGCGGCCCAGCAGTGCCATGGCAGCCACGCCCTCTGCCCGTGCCCTGCAGAACCATCTGTATGCGACGGGGCGCAAGGGCAGAGTCTTGTCCCTGCTGCCTGGCTGCCATGTCCTCGGCTGTGCTGCTCCATGCAGGCCGTGTCCAGGGGCAATTATCCTCCGGGGGGGCTGCTGGTGAGGGGGGGCGCTGGGGGAGGCAGGGCTGGGGTGACAGTGCGCGTGCCCACAGAGAGGGCTCTGAGTGTCGCCTCTGGCATGTGTGCTATAGGTTCCCCACCACTGTCCTATACCATTCCAGACAAATTGCTGTCCAATCTTTTCTTTAAAATTCTTAGTGATGGAGCACAGAATCAGTTTCTATAAGCCTCTAATCCATGGCTTGTTTAAAGTTCCTGTCAGAATATGAAGGATTTATTGGACTGAAAGAAGGCAGGAAAAATCTATAAAACAAGGGGTGCACAACGTTTGAGGGGGGTGGGTGGAAGTTACATTTGGTCTCTTTGCGTTATGCCAGAGATATGTTTTCAGAAAGTTCAGGACAAACAAAGCTCAAATTTGACTTAAATTAAGTTTAATTAATAAATAATTAAATTGATTAATTACACTTTTATTTAATTTAAATTTGAAATAATTAAATTAATAAAATTTACAAATTTAAATTAAATTTGAGCTGTGATGGCGCAGTGGTTAGAATGTAGCATTGCAGGCTAACTCACTTCTCACAGCCTGGAGTTCGATCCTGATCCTCTAAAGCAGGGGTCTTCAAACTTGGCCCTTTTACGACTTGTGGACTTCAACTCCCAGAATTCCTCAGCCAAGCACGCTGGCTGAGGAATTTTGGGAGTTGAAGTCTACAAGTCGTAAAAGGGCCAAGTTTGAAGACCCCCGCTCTAAAAGTTGACTCATCCTTCCATTCTTTCAAGGCTGGTAAAATGAGGGCCCAGGTTGTTGGGGGCAATATGTTGACATTTGTAAACCACTCAGAGAATGTTGTAAAGCACTATGGAGTGGTATATAAGTCTAAGTGCTATTGCTACTGTCTATGATTATTTCAATTTATTTTACGATGTGAGTTGATGCCATCTTACTCTTTAACCATTTGTCCCCTTTCTCATGTTAAATCTTATCATTGAACAGTAAAAATATTAATTAAATTAACCTATGGAATTCATTATTAGAAGATATGGTAAGATCTGGTAATATGTATAGTCCTTTCCTTATAACTGTAAAGGAGCCTGTCCATTGCATTTGTAAGTCGTGACAGTCGTAAAGTGGGTTTTCTACGTGATCAACCTTTTAGGACCTTTTTTTTTTGCAGCGGTCATTAAGCAAAGCAATTGTTCGCCTATGGCAGTGATGGCAAACCTTTTAGAGACTGAGTGCCCAAACTGCAACCCAAAACCCACTTATGCATCGTCGGGTGCCGGGTGGGTGTGGCCCATTGTGTGGGTATGGCCCATTGGGTGGGTGTGGCCCATTGGGTGGGTACAGTTGTGGTGGTAACGGCAGACAGAGTGGGACTAAAAAGTTCAATCAATCAATTCCAACTTTGCAAGATCTTTTTTTTCCCCACGAGAAGTTGAAATTGACTGATTGATTGAACTTTTTTTTTTTTTGCACACGGCGGCAGAGGCCTAAAGCGAAAAGGTTTTATAAAACCCAGCTGAAGGCCTAGGACTGGGGTGACGGCATGTGTGCCCACAGAGAAGGCTCTGAGTGCCGCCTCTGGCACCCGTGCCATAGGTTTGCCACCACTGGCCTATGTTTTTTTTTTGAAAACTTGAAGTAAACATTTCTAGCAAAAACATTACAAATTGCAGTCATTCTTCAAATGGCCATAAGTGCAGGCTGTTTTGCCAAGCACCCGAAATGCAGTCATGTGACCATGGAAGAGGATGGCCATTGGATCCTCAGAACTGTATATTAAGGACCTTTGGAGGGATCCATCATAATTTTGAATATTTGCTGTGCCACCAGTTGTAAGTTTAGGACAATGACAACAACAACAACAACAACAATAATAATAAAGTTGGAAGGGATCTTGGAGGTCATCTAATCCAGCCCCCTGCTCAGGCAGGAAACCCTATACCATTGCAGTCAAATGGCTGTCCAGTCTCTTCTTAAAAACTTCCAGTGTTGGAGCATTCACTACCTGTAAACATTATCTTGAATGATTTTAAAGACAAATTACAAACCTGGATGGAGAACTATCAACTTTTAAGGCTCAGTGTTCCCCCCCACCCCCATTTTGGGGCAGCCAGACTCTAAATCCCAGTTGCTGACGAACAACAGATATGGCTCTATCTCCAGCTTATACCCCAGAGGCATCTGATTGGCCACTGTATGAAAACAGATAAGACATTAAGATAAGACTTGGCCTGAGGTAATTTTTTTAAAAAAAAAACAAAGATACCCCTCCTCCCCACAACTTCCTCCTCTCCAACTCCTAAACCAGGGGTCTTCAAACTTGGCAACTTTAAGATGTGTGGACTTCAACTCCCAGAATTCCTGCCCTAAGCTAAGACTGCACATTTTCCTCCTATAGGCTTATTTCTCTACTTGTGCTCCAAAGTACTGCAAGCTTGGGAAATGGGACAATAGAATTTTTATTTTTATCTTTTTTTGCCCCCTTTCTTGCAAGTTAGTTCACTGACTAATTCTCTCACACGTTGGGATTAAGGAGGAGGACACCAAGTAAAGGCATAACCCAGAAGCCAGAGTGCTTCAGCAAGAATTATAAAGTAGTTCCACACCAAGATAGGAGGACCTCTGGGAGAGTACTGTGACACCCCACTCCCCAACATTTCACTCTATAGTCTCAACCCTTCATTTTCTTAATCTACAATCACAATAAGCTCTGTGATTTAGATTGCATAGTTGATGGAGCCTTGCATTCCAAATGATTCTTCCACCCTATGCTCTATGGCAGGGGTAGGCAACCGTGGCTCTTTTATGACTCGTGGACTTCAACTCCCAGAATTCCTGAGCCAGCATGGCTCAGCTTGGAAACCTCTCCCTTTCCCCTCAGCATGGCTGGCTCAGGAATTCTGGGAGTTGAAGTCCACAATGGATGGAAAATAATCAAGGAGAGAAGCAGCCTGGAAATTTCCTAACAGCGAAGGCAAGCAGAACAGCTTGCCTTCGGAAATTGTAGATGCCTAGCCTACAATTTGCATAGCCCCAGATGAAAAAAAATGACAGTTCTGAAAAAAGATAATTGGGGACTAATTGTTACTTTATAGTAGAGGCTGGAACACAATATTTTATAAAGGCTGTGAGGTAACTTTCTGAATCAGGACACCCTTCAGACACCTCAGACTACAATTCCTACCATCCCCAGAAATGGGTTGTGCTAGACCAGGTGTGGGGAATGATGGCCCTTTTATGACTTGTGGACTTCAACTCCCAGAATTCCCGAGCCAGCCATGCTAAGCCAGCCATTGCTACCAATCTCCAACCTAGAGACTGTTCCACCTCCATTTTCACCACAAGTGAAACGTAGCCAATTTGTGCACATTCGTCAAATCAGTGAATGCCACAAATCAATAAATCAACGAATGAATAAAATTGTTTCATTGCTTCTCACCATTTAATCACACTGGCTTCCTTCACGTTTTTATTTATAAAACATACATTTGTCATGATTCATACTCATGATCCCTTGTTGCATAAACAAAAAATTGTCATGGTAAGGCAGGATTTGGTTCATTAGGAATGTCTTTTCACTCAAAGGCTACTCAAATCCATTATATTTGGCATATTTCTCCACCCATTTTCTAATACAATTCATCCTGATTTACAGCCACGGTACACAAACCAACATTGGCAAGAGCCCATTCTTTGTCATGTGTTGCTCATGAAACTCGCCAGCCTTCTTTCAATTAATTACCAAAGAAAACATAAAAATAATAATGTAACCCGTCAGGAAGCAAATCGCTAATGCAATGTATATACATCTGCATTTCGCAGGTCTGCCCCCACCCCTGCATTCCATCCTGCACATAATATGACTTAGGTCAAGTAAGCCCCACCTTCCCTTCCAAACAAGGTATTACAACTTCAAAATGACATTTATAAGTTCGAAATAAGCTGTATTTCAAGTCTTTCGGAAGCTATAAAAGGGAGATGGATGTTTTCAGTGCATTAGGCATTCAGCTCAAGCCACAATGGGTAGCATGCAAAGACATTTCGTGGTTGCCTTATGGATTATATTTGCTCTGAATACCCACGTGAGAACAGAAGGTAAGGGTTTCATGTTTTGTGGAGCCATCATTTCTAGATTGTATTCATGCTCCTGAAATTAGGGTGGGTCAATTGGAATTTGGGATCATTTGTAGGCCAATTTTGGATATGATGGAAAATAGCCTGAGGAACTACAACTGTAAAACACTGGCAAGAAGGAAGGAAGGAAGGAAGGAAGGAAGGAAGGAAGGAAGGAAGGAAGGAAGGAAGGAAGGAAGGAAGGGAGAGAGAAAGGAGGGAAGGAAGGAAGAAAGAGAAAGAAAGAAAGAAAGAAAGAAAGAAAGAAAGAAAGAAAGAAAGAAAGAAAGAAAGAAAGAAAGAAGGGAAACAAAGAAACAAAGAAGATAGAAAGGAAGGAAGGAAGGAAGGAAGGAAGGAAGGAAGAAAGGAAGGAAGGAAGGAAGGAAGGAAGGAAGGAAAAGAAAACTCAACAGGAGAAGTAGTTTAGATCGTATTATAACTGAGAAGGGGAAATATAAAAATGAATATTGTTCTGTTTTCATATAACCACTTCTAGCATGATTTCTCTTTATACAAATATAGGTAGTCCTCATTTAATGACCACATTTGAGGCTGGCAACTCCATTGCTAAGCAATATGGCCATTAAGTGAGATTACATGTGATTGTGGGGAACTTGCTTCACTTACTCATGATAGTTCACTGAGTGACCTATGGTTGTTAAGCAAGACATCACAGGACCACAACTTGTGATTTTTCCCGCTGGCTTCTCTGTTGAGTCTGCTTCTCAAAAGCTGATGGTGAAGTGCACAAATGGTGGACATAAACATCTGCCAGTTGTGAAGCATCTCAGTCTCAGTCTGAATCTGCTGGGAAGTGGCAATGGTTATAAGTGTGAAGATCAGTCCTAAAGTAAAAATTTTAGTGCCGTTGTAACTCTGAATGGTTGCTAAACAGGATAGTTGTTAAACAAGGATTGATTTGGCAGTTCTGGAAAGGTTCAACGTCTATAGGAAAAGCTCATCCTCTAGCACACAATCTTTTTTTATGTACATAACTTTCATTAAAGTTTTTCTTCATATAAAATGAAAATAAAAGTAAAGACAATGGGAAAAATAGGTAAAGGAAAAGGAGAAGAAGAGAGGAGTGTGGGGTAAGGAAAGAAAAGCAGTGCCTTCCAACTTTTTTCAGTGCAGTAACGTTACATAGTAAAGTTATAATCTCAACTTTTTACTTATATATAGTTAGCGAATACTAGCCATTTCTATAATAGCAACCTATTTTAATCATCAAAACCCAAAGTTTCAATTTTTCTCTCTCTTTTGATCAGGAGGTCCAGAAACAGTTTCCAAGTGGAAACAAAACTAGCTGCATTTTTTCCTTAATTAAAATAATTAATTTGCTACGTCTGCCAGTTTCACCATTTTTTTTTCTATCCGTTTTTCTATTGTGGAAGTTGACACATTTTTATAAAATTCTCACTGTGGCCAGCATATATAGTAACAAAGTTCTATATAAGTTCTTTTTCTCAATATCTTTATCCGTTAATCCTAAAAGAAACATTTCTGGTTTCCATTGTATGTTTGTTTGAGGATCATCTAGATTAAAACATAAATCTGGGCCCAATCTTTCTTTGCTTTATCACAAGTCCACCACTATTGATAAAAAGTTCCTTCTTTACATTTGTATTTCCAATAGACATTTGAAATATCTTTATACATCTTTGACAATTTATCAGGTATTAAATGTCAATGGCACATCATTTTATCAAAATGTTCTTTTAAGTTACAGGTTAATGTAAATTTCAGGCTTTTAATCTACATATTTACACTATTTTAATGTTTTAATTTAATCCACATATTTAATGTTTTAACTTTCCACATCCAATGTTTTAATGTTTTTAACCTTTTAATTGTTTATGCTATTATTTATGGTATTGTAAGCAGCCCAGAGTTGCTTGATAATGAGATGGGCAGCATATAAATTTAATAAAAAGTAAAGAAATAAAAATATTTTCCCAGTGCTCAAGCAGTATATTATTATTTTTTTTGCTTGTTGAAACATATAGTGTTTAATATATTTATTTTTCAGATTCAACTTCAACAACCTTTTATCAACCCTGGCAATAAAAGGGTCACCATTAGTACACAATATAGTTCCAAATTCATTTTTGACAGATTCAAAATCATGACTTTTCTCATTTAAATTAAATCTTTCTTTCAGTTGTAAGTATATAAACTAATGACAGACAGGTCCTTCTGATTCCAAATCTGCTTTTGACTTGAGATTAGGTTCACCTTGGGTAAAAGCTATTATTTCACCCTAAATCCATCAAGGTGGTTTACTGTCATTTCCTTTCTAAAGCTTTCTGGGTGACACCCAAAGAAGTATCTTAGAAGACAGCCTTGCTTTATATTTACTCCAAATTCTTAGGATAGTGTGTGACTCTTAAAGTCTGCATTCATTTTAATCTTACCATACCATAAATAGGGATGCCATCCAAATCTCAGTTCACGGCCCTCCAAATTTTTATAGTTACCCATTCTTTCATCTAGATCAGGGGTAGGCAACCTTGGCTTGGATTTTTTCCTTGCCATATAAACTTAGAAATATCCTTTTGTCATGGTTTGAATGCAACAGGAGTAATAAATATCAGTAATATCTGAAATAAAAACAGCGTCTTTGCTAAAACATTCATTTTGATTATAAAAATCCTGTCCAACAAAAATAATTGCAATTCATCCCACCTTTAATATCATTCCTACTGTTTTGAAACAACTTAGAATTTGTTTTTGACAATATCGCTCCAAGATTTTAACTTTTTTTCTACCTTAAAACTTGAATTCCATGTTAAGTTTTCATATTCTGGGCAGCAATACTTTTAACTAACTGCAAAGTCATTTAGCTTCTTCATCAAATATTCCAACCCAGTCTTTGGCTCTTGCAGAAATAAATATAACTAAATCATTGCAAAAGTTCTTAGTTTATAAGTCACTTTTTAAATGTTCATACCTGTAACTTTTTCATCTTGTCTGATATTCTTATTCAAAACCTCCAAAACTAAAATAAAAAGCAGTGGAGACAGAGGGCAACCATGTCTCATTCCCTTTTGAATCTCACAGGGCTTAATTAGATCACCATTAATAAGAATGTGTACTTGCTGGGGTGTATAGATCTACTTACCTTAAATAAATTACTTTCCAGAGTCCACGTCTTCCAAAACCTCAACAAAAATAACCCAGTTTAAATCGTCAAATGCTTTTTCTGCATTCAGAAATATTAAGGCTGCCTATTCTTCATTGTGGCACTGCAAATATTTGATAACATTCAAGGTCATTCTGACATCATCCCTCAATTGTCTTTTCAGCACAAAAGGTTCTCATAGATAAATTTCTGCAAAATTTCCTTCAACCTCCCCCTCAATATTCCCATAAAAGGTTTGTAAGGAAATCAGTCTATACTTTTTTTTGTCAATGTGATATCTTGACCTTCTTTAGGAAGTAAGGCAGTGTTAGCTTCCGTCCACTTTGGAGGCATTTTAAATACAGGTAGTCTTTGACTTATGACCACAAATGAGCCCAAAATTTCTGTTGCTAAGCAAGACAGCCGTTAAGTGAATTTTGCTCCTTTTTACAATGTTTCTTGCCAGAGTTGTTAAGCAAATCACTACAGTTGTTAAGTTAGTAACATAGTTGTTAAGTGAATTTGGCTTCCCCATTGACTTTGCTTGTCAGAAGATCATAAAAGGGGATCACGTGACCCCAAGACACTGCAACTAACCAAAGACAGAAGCAACTAGAACTAAGGAGAAACTTCCTGACAGTTAGAACAATTAATCAGTGGAAAAACCTGCCTCCAGAAGTGGTGAATGCTCCAACACTGGAAGTTTTTAAGAAGAGACTGGAGAGCCATTTGTCTGAAATGGTGTAGGGTTTCCTGCCTGAGCAGGGGGTTGGACTAGATGACCTCCAAGGTCCCTTCCAACTTTATTATTGTTGTTGTTGTTGTTGTTGTTGTTGTTGTTGTTATCAACTGTCATAAATATGAGTCAGTTGTCAAGTGCCCTAATTTTGATCATGTGACCATGGGAATGTTGCAACAGTTGTAAGGGTAAGAAACTATCATAAGTCACTTTTTTCAGTGGTGTAACTTTGAATGGTCACTAAATGAACTGGTCTAAGTCAAGGACTACCTATATCTGTAGTACAGAACTCATGTAGAAGGAATGACTCTGGGGACAGAGTCAAAAGAGGAACAAGCCTAGAATCTCTACGTAACCACAAATGGATTAAGTCCAACCCTCCTTGAGTGCCACTAACCCTTATCTAAAGCCAAAACAGTGCTAACCATTAGTTGATTAGATTCCTGTGCTTAGGCATGAGCTATAAATCAGTTTAATTGGAACTACACATGTAGTCCTGGTCTTTCACACCAGACAGTTCATTATATCTTCCAATGGCTGTAGCAATTGTTCTTCAAAGCATTTATAATATTGGCTTGAAAGTCCATTTGGGCCTGGAGCTTTGCCTCTTTTCATCTTTTTAAAAGGATCTGATATTTCAAAAGTACTTATTGGATCATTCATGAGTTGTCTTTGTGAGAGCTTTGGTAAATGTTGCTTTTGCAAATAGCCACCTATTTTTGTATGCCTGCTTCTTTTTTCTTATACGAGTTAGAAATTTTTGAAGGATTTTTTAAAATAGAGTTATCATCCGTTAGTGGTGACTCACCCTCCTGGGTTTTTCCAATCAATGTCTTTTTCTCTTCCTTTTCTCAGTTTGTATGCCAGCCATCTTCCTCAAAAGGTCTTTGTTTCTCATAATTCAGTTTTGTTTCTGATAGAAGTTTTGTTTGTATTTCAGATAATCAACGTAGATAGTTGCAGACGTAGTAACTTTATTTGGTGTAAAATGTTAAGAGTCCGTTGATGACTTCCATCAAGGCAATATTGTCTAAAACAGTGGTTCTCAACCTTTTTAATGCCGTGACCCCCAACCGGTCGTAAGTCGAGGACTACTCAACTGGTGCAGCACTGTTTGCAGAATGGGACTTTTGGCAGGCTCAGCAGGGCAGAGACAGCCTGGACAATTCCTATTGGCTTTTGAAAGCCAATAGAATTAGACTTTGTTCAAGAGAGTCCATTCTATTGGCTTTCAAAAGCCAATAGAATAAAAGGGAGTAGCACAGCTAAGGAAAAGGGGAAAAAAAATGGCGGACTGCATTGTTTGGCGACCCCCGTGAAATGGTCGTTCGACCCCAAATGGGGTCCCGACCCACAGGTTGAGAACCACTGGTCTAAAACACCCTTGTATTATATGTCCCTGGTGTCCATTGTGTTCTAAAAAGTCTACCTTATCACTTACCTGTTTGACATCTCCTGCGATCTGATGCATCTCCTCATGGAGTAGCTTACCTATAGTTCCCACTCTCGTCTCTATTGCCTGAATTGTTTTGCCCGAATAGTATTCCATCATAGCTCTCATGCAGTGCAATTCTCCTGATCCGCTTATTTATCTGCTTACACCTTGTAGTCATTTCTATAATTTAACCACTGTCCTAAAAAAAACCCCAGCATTTTATTTTATATTAAACAATTCCAAGAGCAAAAGTGTGTTTTTTGTCAATATCATGGCTTTTGGCTCCCTCTTGTGGTAAAATAATGAATCCAAGCAAAAGTTATATTTCCTATCACTAAATTCAATACTGTGGTCTTTGACTTCCTCTTGTGGCTAAGGAGTAAATCTGATTCAAACAACCAATTTAGCAGATTAGTTTTTAGCTCTCTCTTAAATCAATTATACACAGAAAGGCAATAGCAAGTTAGATGTTAATTCCCGATCAAACTATTCTGTTTTGGTTGGAAACTTCCATTCTCTCACAAAGTCACAATGTATAAATCCAAAAAGATAGGCAAAAAGAAAAGAAGAAAACAAGTTCACAATAATAAGATAAGCTTTATTGTTATTTTTTACTGTGGGCACACTGGCACACATTAAAGCTGACATTCTGTTGCCTGCTGTTTAAAGCCATAAGTTTCCAATAAATTTGAATTTGTTGTTGTTAATTGTGAAGTCGTGTCCGACCCATCGCGACCCCATGGACAACGTTCCTCCAGGTCTTCCTGTCCTCTACCATCTTCTGGAGTCCATTTAAGTTCACACCTACTGCTTCAGTGACTCCATCCAGCCATCTCATTCTCTGTCGTCCCCTTCTTCTATTTGCCCTCAATCTTTCCCAGCATTAGGCCCTTCTCCAGTGAGTCCTTCCTTCTCATTAGGAATAAATTTGAATAGGAAGAGGAAAAAACAACCGAGATTATTTGCTGGCATGACTCTGTCACTCCCCTCTCCTCACTATTTTATTTTAATGAAGCTTCAAAAATTATGCAGTTCCATGAAAGGGGAAAAAGTAATCTATCAGTCAAAAAAAAAGCCTGTTTTACAACTCCAAGATAAGTAGGCAACTTAAGAACTATGTAGCAGGGACATTTTATTGTCCTATTTAAGAAAAGAAACAGCTGATTTTTCCAAGTGAACATGTAGTAAGCTCGCCCCACGTCCTAGCTGAACTCACCGGGCCAACTTCTTAGCTTCAGCTTCAGAGAGATTGTGCAAGCTGCAGCTGTCTGGAGGATCCAGGGGGTTGATTTGCCAGACTTTCCCTATTCCAGAAAAGTTCTTCGGGATAAAAAATAATAATAATAATGGAAAAATAGCCCAGCACTGAAAAAAACCTGGGTCTCCGCGCTTCTTGCTGAAACTGGTGCTCAGACGGCCATCTCTACCAAAAGGCACAACAATGAAGCCATCTCAAAGAAGATACTTCACAACAGAACACAGTTTTAAGACTACAGCATTCTTTTAATGTTGCAGGCACATATAAATACACACACACACACCCCACGTACAGAAATAAAGTGTTGAAGGTATGTATGCACATGCAGAAATCAGACTGTTTTAGGAACAGCAATAACTTTTATGGATATTAACACAAGGTTGATTTTACATGATATCAGATTCCTCCTCTGGCTTGGCTCTTGATCCAACATAGTTCAGAACCAGCTCCTTTTATTTTAATGATTACATTGGGCACAGAGAGAATGCAAACTCTGTAGACCAGTGTTTCTCAACCTTGACCATTTTAAGGCATGTGGACTTCAACTCCCAGAATTCCACAGCCAGCAATGCTGGCTGTGGAATTCTGGGAGTTGAAGTCCACATGCCTTAAAATGGCCAAGGTTGAGAAACACTGCTGTAGACTCTCTTGTATCACTGTTTTATCCTAAGCACCAATGGGAAGAAGCGTCTCCAGTCAAGCTGCAGAAAGGAACAAAAACCCCAGATATGAAGAGTCCCTTTCCCATATCGGAATGAGACAACTCACCGCAGCCAATTCTCGGTGGCCAACTAGCCATGGCCAACTCACCATGGACAACTCGCCATAGACAACTCACCACAAGATAACTTGCCATGGCCAACTTGCCAAGGGACAACTTGTCATGGGACAGTTCAGCAAATGCAAAAGTTAAATTAATTTTGATGGAACCTTGGCCAATAACAATAAAATGAAGTCAATCCAGAAATACAAGTGTTACAATAATTTCAGTGAAAATAGGGTCACCAATAATAAAAGTAATTGAATGAAATGATTAATGTAGCATCGAATTGTCCTGTTGGCTGCAGTGAGTTGGCTGTGGCGAGTTGGCCACGGAAAGTTGTCCTAGACCCTTACCGTATGGACACCATTCATCCAATACAGAGATGGAGGTAGGAAGCTGAGTCACTGCACCTTGCTCATCTTTGGCCCATTGTGACCCCTGACTGATTTTGTAGGAAGAAGGAGGAGATAATAATAATAATAATAATAATAATAATAATAATAATAATAATAATAATCTGGAGATAGCAGAATAGAAGAGAAAGAACTGGAGAAGATAACAAAATACAAAGACCTACAAATAGAAATAGAAAGACTGTGGCAAAAGCAAGCAAGGGTAGTACCAATAGTCATAGGCTCCTTGGGTACAATCCCAAAACAACTGGAGCACCACTTGAACACCATTGGCATTGACAAATTCGCTATTAGTCAATTGCAAAAGGCGGCCTTATTAGGAACTGCTTCCATCCTGCGACGATATCTGTAATACCATCAAACATCCAATCTGCCTATCCCAGGTCCTGGGTAAGGACTCGATAGGTAGACAAAATGCCAAATCCAGTCTGAACATCTGGCTGACTGTGCGATGATCCGATGATAATAATAATAATAATAATAGTAAAGTTGGAAGGGATCTTGGAGGTCATCTAGTCCAACCCCCTGCTCAGGCAGGAAACCCTACACCATTTCGGACAAATGGCTGTCCAGTCTCTTCTTAAAAACTTCCAGTGTTGGAACATTTACCGCTTCTGGAGGCAGGCTGTTCCACTGATTAATTGTTCTCACTGTCTGTCAGGAAGTTTCTCCTTAGTTCTAGGTTGCTTCTCTCTTTGATTAGTTTCCACTTGTCCTGCCTTCAGGCACTTTGGAAAATAGCTTGACTCCCTCTTCTTTGTGGCAGCCCCTGAGATATTGGAATACTGGTATCATGTCCCCCCTCGTCCTTCTCTTCATTAAACTTGACATACCCAATTCCAGCAACCGTTCCTTATATGTTTTAGCCTCCAGTCCCCTAATCATCTTGGTTGCTCTTCTGTGTACTCTTTCTAGAGTCTAAACATCTATTTTACATCGTGGTGACCAAAACTGGATGCAGTATTCCAAGTGTGGCCTTACCAAGGCATTGTAGAGTGGTATTAATACTTCACGTGATCTTGATTCTATCCCTCTGTTAATGCAGCCTAGCTATGTGTTGGCCTTTTTGGCAGCTGCAGCACACTGCTGGCTCATATTTAAGTGATTGTCCACTAGGACTCCAAGGTCCCTCTCACAGTTACTACTATTGAGCATGGTGCCACCTATGCTATACTTGTGCACTTGGTTTTTCTTGCCTAAATGTAGAACCTTGCTTGCTTAGTAACAGCTGCCTCACTTCAGTTCTCCCATTTCTTCTCCTGACACCGAGAACAGGGCAGTGAAGCATCTCATTTTATCCATGGGGGACTTATCAGAGCCTCAGTGAGTTGATATGAAGAACAACTCAAGAAAAGATCAGTGAGAGATGTATTTGGATGCGGGGTTTTCTTTTAACTGATTATATGCCATGAAATCACTATTGACTCTTAGTGACCAGCTATATAGATTTTTCTCCTTGATGGTCTGCTTCCTGCTTTTCATGTCTTCCAGTGATGTCCTCCTATTACTGCTATAATTTTTCAAGCTCTTTCTAAAGAGATAGTAACATAAATTTCCTCTCCAGAAACAACCTCTGCATCACCTAATACCACAGAAACTTCACCCCCAGAAACCTCAGAGACTTCATCAACAGAGTCCTCTTCCAGTCCTCCTCCAACCACCTCAGGGATTCAATCTTCTGAAAGCCCATCAAGTGCACCTTCAGAGGCCCCCTCAAGTGCCCCCACATCAACGTCAGGGACCGTATCTTCAGATCCCCCCGCCAGCCTCCCTCCAAAAACCTCCAAGGGACCTTCTTCCGAGAGCTCTTCAGCTCCTCCTTCACCAACCTCTGAGTCTGCATCTCCAAAATCTACTTTGGCAGCAGGTAAGAATGCTGTAGCTTCTTTTAAAATATTGTTACTTCTTTTTAACACAATTCAAATTGCGGGAAAGGGACTGTCGCTAAGAAAGCATCCCTTTTACAGACAATCACCTTGAGGCAAGATGGGTAGTAACCTTTCTGACTTGGCAGATCGGCAGAGGCAGTGGCGGTAGTGGGGGTGGAGAGGGGATGGTTTCACACTCACAGGTGTGTCGTTTTCACAAGTTCAGCTTGATGTGCACCTTCATGCATATGCATGCTCACCCATCACTTCTGTGGCCTGGTTTCTAATGGGCTGTGGCCTGGCAGACTGGGCTGCAGACCGGGGGTTGGGGACCCCTGCACTAAATGATTCAAAATCAGTCCTGGTTCTCTTGTACTACTGCCTTCTCTTAAAGCTCGTCTCTTCAGAAGCAAAAATATTTTCTGTTGCCATTGTGTCTCAAAATTCCAGTATAAACATTCTGCAGAAAACTTACTTATAAAAGCTTAGTAAACTAGTACCAGCAACCTCTGAGATATTACTTTCTATTACTAGTAAGTGAGATGAATGCAAAAATTCAAAATACAAAACACAGCAAATAACATCAGGATATCTTTATTCAAAACAGCTGGTACTACCTCTCTGGAAATGTCTAAGACTGAACTTACAACAGTCACAATGAGTAGCAGAACAATAAATTCATCTTCTCAAACCATCACCCCAGGCATATCCACTAAGACATCAGAAAAAGTGCCACCTGGAGGTGAGAATTCAACCTCAGCTCTGCCTCCTGTAGCTACAAATATCAAAGCCACAACTGTCAAAGCCACAATCACTCCTGCCTTGGTCACCACTTCCAAAACCACTGTGACGCCTGGAAAAGATACAACTTCTAGAAGTAGCACCTCCATCACAACCAGAAGTACAATGCGCTCCATTGCTACAGTTTCTTCTGAAACAACTCAGCAAAACACTACAACTAGTGGTAAGTTTATCTGACTTCATTCAGATCTAGCCACTGAGTTACACAAGTCACCAGAAATAACCATCTATCTGAACAAAATCCACAGCCACATGCAGAGTAGTCAGTTTGTTGACTTTTCCTAGGTGTGAAAACAGTCTAAGGCAGTGGTGGCGAACCTATGGCACGCGTGCCAGAGATGGCACTCAGAACCGTCTCTGTGGGTATGCATGCCGTCATCCCAGCCCTGCCTCCCCCACGGCCCCCTCCTCACCAGCAGCCACCTCTGAAGGAGAATCACCCCCAGGCATGGCCCGCGCAGAGCAGTGCAGCCAAGGAAATGGCAGCCAGGCATCAAGGACAAGACTCCACCCTTGTGTCCCATCACATGCAGATGATGCTGCGGGGCACGGGCGGAGGGCATGGCCGCTATGGCCCTACAGGGCCGCCTGGGCGATCTGCTGCAGTGGGCTGTGGAGGCAGGGGGGTGGGGCAGTTTTTGGGCACTCGGTGTCTAAAAGGTTTGTCATCACTGATCTAAGGGCATAATAAATGGCATTGTTTACATTAGAGGGTGGAAGTATCAGTAGAAAGAGGAACCTTCTTAGAGAGATAGAACTTAGAGATCACAAGAAGGTACCCCAGATTCTTATTACATTCCAGCCATAAAGATCATGTTATAATTGACTTTTGTCATCCTTATGTATTATTTCAGGGGGTATGTAACCTGTAACCTGGTGGTTTCAAGGCTCTTTTGACAAGGAGCAACATGATGGCTATAGCTGTGCAAGCCAAATAACATACATCTAACTCTAAACACCTTGGTTCCTTACTTAAGTGGGCATTTTCAGCACAAAACAACAGCATAGATCCTCTCCAAAGTGCCTGTGTTCATCCCTTCTCTTTTCTTCAACTTTGCAGGAGACAAATACCCAAAATGGGCTTTTATCCTCCTCCTTTGCACGACCGTCACACTGTCTTTCCTGTTCCTGGCCTGTCTTGGCTGCTTGGTAAGGATGGAAAAAGCTGCCCTTTGCAGCAGGCAAAGGGAACAAAGAGCTAGGCTTACATGAGAATCGGCAACTCCAGTTGAACCTTAGAGAGTTTCCAAGTGATGCTCAAAAGGGGTCAACTCACCATTTTGGAATGCAATGGACATAACACCATTGTGAATCACACATGTCCCAAACCAAATTGCTGATGAATTGTTCAAATAGTCTTGTGAGTTCTGTAGGGTGAGGAACCCCTACATCCAAACTATATTGTGATCCATGGTAGAAAACATACAGCCATTAATGTGGAATAATAAACAATCACTAGAACAGTGGTTCTCAACCTGTGGGTCGGACTCCATTTGGGGTCGAATGACCATTTCACGGGGGTCACCAACGCAGTCTGCCATTTTTTTCCCCTTTTCCTTAGCTGTGCTACTCCCTTTTATTCTATTGGCTTTTGAAAACCAACAGAATAGACTCTCTTGAATAGAGTCTAATTCTATTCGCTTTCAAAAGCCAATAGGAATTGTTCAGGCTGTCTCTGCCCTGCTGAGCCCACCAAAAGTCCCATTCTGCAAACGGTGCTGCACCAGTTGAGTAGTCCTCGACTTACGACTGGTTGAGTAGTCCTTGACTTACAACCGGTTGGGGGTCGCGGCATTAAAAAGGTTGAGAACCACTGCACTAGAATAATGATGTGTCTGCATAATTACTGGAATAATGCTGCGTTAGTAGTATGTGACTAACCTAATGCGCATTGCACTTGGATACAATGTATGTAGCAAACTCTCTCCATTGTATACCCGTGAGAAACGAACCTAATGTATTACAATGTGTATCACAATGTGTATTCCTTTGTTCCTGAGAAAAAGAAAGTATAAAATTGAAGTCTGAACCCGCCCTCGGGGTTCAGAATTGCTGGTTGCTACTGCTTCTGAACCTGCACAATAAATCTCTCTGCTAAAACCCTCTGGAATTCGTAAGAGTCCTTCCGTTTTCCACAAGACCATGAGTCTTCTTATAGAGGGCAAATATCAGCTTGGGAGAAAGTCACCGAGTCAACCTTTGATCCTCTGGAGAACTGTTGTCAGTCAATGTAACCCACTGGGCTGGCTCTGTATACTGTAAGGCACCTTCACATGTTCCAAAGGCTCAAAAGATCAGGTGAGCTCTTGTGTAAAATCTTAGACAGCCATTGTTAGTTAAAGTATGGAATACAGTACTCTTCTTGGAGAACCAACCATCTGATCCAGGACAAATCTAGTGAATTTTAGGCAAGAGAACCCTGTGGAACCTCTATGATTATACTTACATAATTACAGATGCTAAGGTCATGTTACTTGGTTACAAATGTGGGTTGTACCTGCCCACATTAATATCATCCCAGGTCAAGTGAGGATCCACCATGACTGCTGATATTCTGCAGGGATTGCCACTAAAATGATGTCAATTCTGTGGAGCTCTTGGTGCTCTTGAATTTGGTTGTTTTCTTGTAGACATATCATCATGATGATGTTATGTAGTGTGATAATGAGATGCCTGCAAGAAAACAACCAGAGATCACTAAGGTTCCCACAGTTCAACCCTGAACCATAAATATTATTTTCTATATCAATCTCATTTTTGTTTCGCATTTGGTCTCATTCTCTCTTCTTCCCAAACTCCTGCAGGTTGCCCGCTATGTGAAATCTCCTTTGTGTGTTCCTGAATCTGAGAATGTGTACAGAAGTCACACTATGCTTCAGAGTTTTCGGAATCTCAGCTGTGAAAGGAACAGCAATCCACAGATGCCCCAAGACAATAACCAAGAGATGCTGTAAAATATTCACCAACAGATGTTTCAGACTTCTCAGGATTGATAGCAACTTATAACAGGAGGGATTTCTTCCCAATTTATTTTTGACATTTTTTAGCCAAAACATTTACAGTGCCTTTCTCCCATCATCTCATACATGAACAAACAGGACATGGTAGAATTTTATTTGATCTGTATTTGTTAGTGAATGGACTTAATTGTTCTTCTTCAGATTAATATGTAGATGCTCTATTTATTCTTCAAGTGGCATTCCTCTGAATGCCAGTGCAGCCTTCAGTTCATAAGTTAAATCAATGTTCCCGCGGATCAAGCTTCAGTTCTGATGACTTCATGGATACCTCCTTGTAGCTTTCCTGGCCACAGAATGGGAATAATTAGTTTCTGTCTCCATTCTCTTTTATTTTTCTCTCTCCAAATTCCAGCATAGACTACAACCATAATATTTCATAGTCATCTTGCATCCAAGTACTGTACTAACAAAATTTCACTCTGCTTCACTGCTTGAGATCTCCGAAAATCACCCGGTTCAACCTTAAAATATATGAATTTTATTGAGAGTCAGTTTGGTGTGGTGGTTAAGGCATCTGTCATGGTTCCAACTAATGAAACACTTCAAAGAAATTCCAGGCATGTTTATCCTAAAGCAGTGTTTCTCAACCTTGACAATTTTAAGGCATGTGGACTTCAACTCCCAGAATTCCACAGCAATGCTGGCTGTGGAATTCTGGGAGTTGAAGTCCACATGCCTTAAAATTGTCAAGGTTGAGAAACACTGTCCTAAAGCCTTTATTACCAGTGTTACAAATTGACGGCACATCATGGAGATTTATGCCAGAATCTGAATTCCTCTTGCTGGCATCTAACTTTTCTTGCTAAACCCCTCCCTTATCTTGCAGTCACAAGTCACATCTTCCAATTAGCCCAGAGGGCAGAGATTCACTTCCCTTCCTTTTCCGGGGCTTTTGTTTATTTCCCCTCCCTTTTCTCTGTCATCTGAATTAACTCTAAAAATACTGGACAATTCTGCATATTTTGTCAAAGCAAGAATATTCAATATTAGCAGCATTGACACATCAGAGTAGAAACTGGGAGACCATGAGTTCTAGTTCCACCTTAAGACATGAAGCCAGCTGGGTGATCTTGGGCCAGTCACTTTCTTTCAGCCCCAGGGAAGGAGGCATGGGCAAATCTCTTCTGAAAAACTTGGCCAAGAAAACTGCAGGAACCTATTCAGGCAGACACTGAGAACTAGACATGATTGAAGAGAAGGGGAAAAGGCTACTTTGTTTAGGATAGGTTGGAGGAAACTACTAAGCAACTGCGCATCTTCATGTGATATTTTTTTGATACAGAAAATCGATCAATTTTTGATTGAATAGATGTAAGTTGACATGGACCAGAGAAAGATGAAATTTATCTGTGCTTAAAAATAAGACTAGGATTCAGTAAATCAATGCTTGTGAACTGCATCCGGATGGCAGAAATGAAGGCTCCTTGTACAGGTAGTCCTTACTTAACAACTGGTCACTTAATGACCGGTCACAGTTACAATGGCCTCAGAACGGCCCATTTCTGGCCATTGTGAAACATTGTGCAACCTCCCCCCCCTGCAGTCACATGACCATATTTTGGGCACCTGGCTTTGATGGATTTGTTTATCGACCACATGGTCTGTTTAATCACCCTATGATTCACTTAATGACGGCAATGTCTTGCTTTACAATCATCATAAAGCAATTGTAAAAATGACTGTTATCTATAGTTACCCATTTAATGACCACTCTGACATACAAGCTTTGGGGCCCAAGTATGGTTGTTAGGTGAATACTGTCTTCATTAAAGCACCAAAGATCCAGATCTTCATTTTTTCTTCTTCCATTCAATTGTATCTGATTCTTGGAGACTGCCTGGTCCAGGGCTAGGCAATCTTGGCTCTTTTATGACTTGTGGACTTCAACTCCCAGAATTCCTGAGCCAGCCATGCTGAGGGGAAAGAGAGAGGTTTCCAAGCTGAGCCATGCTGGCTCAGGAATTCTGGGAGCTGAAGTCCACGAGTCATAAAAGAGCCAAGGTTGCCTATCCCTGGACTAGTCTGTACCAGCATGATTGATTTTTTACTTTTTCCCTTTTACAACATATCCCAGAAGTAATTCTGTCCCTCAGCTGTGATTTGCCAATCTTGTATTTGCAGAGGTGTCAAGCGTTACATGCTGGATTAAGATTCTGGAAGCAGCTTTAGAAATCTCCATGCTGAGAGAGATGGTAGTCCATTGCCTTGTTATAATCATGCACTAGGTTGGCTTTACTTCCATTGAGATATTTTTAAACTAGAAACACATTTCCTTACAGCTACAGACTGGCAAGTTTCCATTTTGTACTCAGCTAGAGCGGGAAAAAACTGTGTTGCATTTTATTTGTCTCCAAATAAATCACAGCATCCTGATTGTTCTTAGGGAAATGACACATCTAAAATCTAGCACTGACCATCCGGACTCTTAACTATGCAACTTGTATAATTGTAAATAAATAGATATTAGAAAAATGCACAACTCGTCACTTCCTTCTCATGACTAAATTGACTCCATCAAAAATAGCAATAGCACTTAAATTTATATACTGCCCCATAGTGCTTTACAGCACTTTCCACGTGGTTTACAGAGTCAGCCTATTGCCCCCAACAATCTAGGTCCTCATTTTAGTGACCGTGGAAGGATGGAAGGCTGAGTCAACTTTGAGCCCATCAGGATTGAACTCCAGACTATGGGCAGAGCTTGCCTGCAAAGCTGCATTCCAAATACTGGGCCACTAGGCTCCTTGAATATGCCTTGAATATGTTTTTATTACAGGGGTGGATAAGCTAAAGCCTTGGAGTTATATCTGCCCTCAAATTGAAAAAAAGCAAGAGAACCAAACAGAGTTGCTAAACATTGCTAGCAGTTCAGAAGCCACAAAACAGTGTTATAATTAAGCTGTGGGATTCATTGTGATGATGCTAACTTGAGTGGCTCTAAAGAGGATAATGGGTTTATTCATGGATAATGGGTTCCATCAAGTCTATCAGCCTTAAAGACTCATGATCCTATTAAAATCAGGCAGCCCGACTCCAAATGAAGAAGAGGTCTCAGATCTCCTGCGTGTAAGGCAGCTCTGAGGCATCCAGTTAGCCCCTATGAGAAATAAAATAAAACAAGAACTAAGATGGGAGTTGGTCAGATCCAAAAACGTTTTGAAAATGAAGACCTTCTCTAGTCTAAAAAAAAGAAGAAATAAGGGAGACAAGTTAGTAGTGTTCCAGTATCTGAGGGGCTGCCACAAGGCAGAAGGGGCCAGGTTGTTCACCAAAGCACCAGAGGGAAGAATGAGAAACAATGGTTGGAAACTGACCAAAGAGAGAAGCAACCTGGAACTAAGGAGAAACTTCCTGACAGTGAGGACAATCAACCAGTGGAACAGCTTGCCTCCAGAAATCGTGGGCGCTCCATCACTGGAGATTTTTAAGAAGAGACTAGACATTCACCTGTCTGAGATGGTATAGGTTCTCCTGCTTAAGTGGGAGGCTGGACTAGAAGACCTCCAAGGTCCCTTCCTGCTCTATTCTATTCTATTCTAATCATGAAAGCTTACTGGCTAACTTTGGGCAAATCATTCTCTTTCAATCCAACCTGTCTCCCAGGATGGCTGTTGTGAGGGAAAATTGGAAAAGGAAGTGTTCCATTAAACAGGTGTAATTCATTTTTTAATATAGTTCTTGACTTATGACCACAACTGAGCTCAATATTTCTGTTGCTAAGTGAAATAGTCGTCAAGTGAATTTTGCTCCATTTTACGACCTTTCTTGCCACAGTTGTTAAATGAATCACTGTGGCTGTTGTTAGTAACATGGTTCTTAACTCAATCTGGCTTCCCCGTTGACTTTGTCAGAAAGTCACAAAAGATGATCACATGACCCTGGAACACTTCAACCATTATAAATAAGCTGCCAAATATCCAAATTTGGATTACATGACCTTAGGGATGCTGCAATGCTCATAAGTGTGAAAAATGGTCATAAGTCTTTTTTTTCCCAGTGCCATTGCATTTTTGAATTGTCACTAAATGAACGGTTGTAAGTTGAGGACTATGTGAATATCCACTTATCCATGTATCTAACTTGGCTTCCAATAGTTTCTCTCTTTTTCTGTTTACAGAACCATTAACCCAGCCTTCGGATGCTTCAACTATGTTAAAGCATCATGATATTAAAAAAAAATAGAATTTTCACATACACATAAGATAAGATAACCTTTATTGTCATGTGTTTTTCTGTGAACACACTGGCACACATTAAAAAATGAAATTCTGATGCCCGCTCTCAAAAGATAATAAATATTCAGGCCCGTGATTGAAGACTTTTTTGGCAGTGGCAAAATAATGGCAGTCTTCAACCATGATGGGACTATTGCCTGCTGCAATGAAAGATTGAAAATATCTGTAAGAACCCAAGACAACTCATCCACACACTCCTTAAGAACACACCCAGGGATATTACAGGACCTGCAGCTTTCCGAATGTTAACTTTCCACAATGTCCTCCACACAGAGGTAACATCAAAACTAAGCACTTGCTCATCAGGATGAGGCACAGCTTTCCCTGCAGGGGTACTTTTTGATGTCTCAAATCTTCCAAAAAATGAGTCCAGTTCATTTAAAAAGTCCTCGTTGCCCTTACAACATGATGGAGCCACCTTATGGTCTGTAATGGCCTGGATGCCTGGTCATATATGGTCTGGTGTTTGTAGGATCCTGAAAAAAGTTCTGAACTTTCTGAAAACAGGTTTACCTTGCTGTTTTTATGGCACTTTTCAAAATGGCTCTAGCTATTCTAAGCGCCAGTATATCACTGGATTTAAAAGCCACATTCTGTGTTTTTACTATCTTGCAACCCTCATGGGTCATCCATGGGTTTTCATTAGCCCACACAGACGCACACAGAGACACAGACACAGACACAGACACACACACACAGAGAGAGAGAGAGAGAGAGAGAGAGAGAGAGAGAGACCTATTTTTCTGTGTGATTCACTTCTAGTCTAATATGAGAAGGCAGCATTTGGAAAAGAACTTAATTAGATGAAGGAGTATGTTCTCATGGCCTCAAAGCAAGTTCATCTACTCATGAATCTGGCAGCTGATAATCATAGAAGAAAGATATTTTCCAGTGTCAAGTAGGCTTCCGGTCCATATAGTAGTCCTTGATTTATGACCACAGTCCTTGATTAGTCCTTAATAAGCACTGTGGTCATTGTGACCTGATTATATATATATATATATATATATATATATATATATATATATATATATATATATATATGTTTTCTGAGGTTTTCGCGGGGGTTTGTATGTAGGTCTTTGGTTGTTCGGGTTTTCTCCCGAACAACCAAAGTGTCTTCCAATTTTACGCGGGAGAAAACCGAACAACCAAAGACCTACATATAATATATATATATATATATATATATATATATATATATATATATATATAAAATCAGGTCACAATGAGCACAGTGCTTATACATATATATACCACAGTGCTTATATATATATATATATATATATATATATAATATATATATATATATATATATATATATAAAATAGAATTTAATCC